ATTGTGCATGAGTACTACAAGTATTCCATGTCTCCATGCAAAAATTTAGGGGGAGGATCATCTACAAGATGGACGCTTTGAGACTAACACCTTTTTCAAGTTTATCATGTGTGTAGTGATCTCATTGCAAGGAAAATGGAGTCCCCGAAGAGAAGCATCGTTCTTCAATTGGCATCATCATGTTGATTTTATTTCATATTTATATGCTTTCTCCATGCATTATATAGATTAAACTCTCTTGTGCAACAAATTGCTAATTATGCATATGCTTTGCTTTCTACCATATGTATGCATATATTTAGGGGGAGCTTAGTCTATATAATGCGAGAGTCAAATTTTGTGATCCATTTCACTCTATACACAAAGGATCATGAAATTTGACCCTCCCTTGTGCTACTAATGTCTTCCTTTTTAGTGTTTGATGCCAAAGGGGGAGAATTTGAAGGACCAAAGGCAAGCATCAAGTTGATGTCTACAAGTGGTAATGGTCCGAGAAAGGGGGGAAAGTGAATTATGGATTAGTCTATGTAATGGGAGAATTTTTTTTAGAAAGATAGGCTTTAATCCATAATATCACATGGGGACATTTGCAAGGGCAAGACATGTTTTTAAGTAAAGTTTTAATTGGTATCTATCAATTAGTATCATATAACCTTGCCCTTTGCATTGCATCCTAGCAAGTAGATAATTTTTAAATTTAAAAATTTTATCATTTGCTTGCTTTGGTCGTGTTGTCATCAATCACCAAAAAGGGGGAGATTGTAAGGAAAATGGACCCTTGGCCCATTTACTTTGGATTTTGGTGTTTGATGACCAACACAACCGAATTGGACTAATGAATTTGCAAGTGTTTGTTTTGTAGTCCAATAGGGTGCAAGACGTGACTTGGACGAAGGCGACGTGATGATCTGATAATCAACACCTCAAGCAAGACCTTAGAAGCACAAGAAAAGACCCAAGATGTCAAGCAAAGTCCAAGCATGAAGATAGGAACCAAGCCGTGCGCAAGATCGCGAAGAAACGAGCTCGCAGAGGCGATCGGACGCCGACTGTGACACTGGAAGCGCGACCGACGCCGGACCGGTGGCTCGGCAAACAAAGCGACCGGACACGAGGACCGACCGGACGCTGGCGATAAACCGACGGACGCAGTACACGCAGCGTCCGGGTCGATCGAGTAGAAGAGAGGTTCCAGCGCGCCGCTGAAACTACGACCGGACGGCGTCCGGCGGCGAAGCGACCGGACGCTAGCGTCGTCCGATCGGTGTTCGCGCTACAAACGGTCGGACGACGGACGCGCGCGTCCGATCAGATGATTCGGCCGTCCGGCCGATAGCGCTTTGGCGAATTCGACCCCAACGGTTACTTTCTCGGGGGGCTTATAAATACAACCCCAACCGCCATTTGAGTAGTGTAGAGCCGAGGAAACATACCAAGGGTGTTGATACACCATTTTAGTGATCTCCACTTGCTAAGTGCTTAGTGTTTTCATCAATGATTAGCATAAGTGCTTTGAAGGCGTTTAGGTTGATTAGACCACCGCTTATGCGCTTGCTCTAGGTGTTTGCCTAGTGTTTAGTGAGGTTTGCATACCTCTTGCCACCCGTGCTTGCGAGCACAAGAGTTGTACATTGAGGGGCTTGAAGTCTTGCGAGATCGCACCAACCGCGTTGTGGTGCGGCCGCCGCCACCGTGTCTACCGAGGGAACAAGGCCCATGGCGTTTCGGCCCGAAAAAAGCTTGATAGTGAAGACGGCGGGAGCATCCAGAGAGGCTTGCTTGGAAGGCACATCGGAGACCCACTTGCTGCGTGGGGAAGGCCCGAGGCTATCTACGGAGTTACCCGACCGGGGAGCTTGGCCCGGAGCTTGGCCCTTGAGAGGGATTCTCATGCGGGGCTCCAAAGAGGACTAGGGGAAGCTTGCGCGCTTCTCGACTACCTCGGTAAAAATACCGGAGTCGTCGACGGGAGTTTGCATATCTCTACCTTGCTCTTTAAGCTTCCGCATTTACATTGATCATATTATTATCATTTGCGAGAGAGATATAACACACTAGCAAAACCGTAGTTGCACATCTAGATAGATTATCTTTTGCATAGGTTTTGCTAGAGTTAAAAAATAGGCCATAGTTTTGAGTTAGAATTTTAAGTTGCCTAATTCACCCCCTCTTAGGCGCCCTCGTGTCCTCTGAGATGCATGGGCCATGCTCAACAACCCCGCCACGGGTTGTGAGCCGTCGCCCACTGTGGTGGTGGAGGGCCGCCAGATGATGCACCTTGGCCGCCGGTTGGTGCACCTTGGTCACTTGCGAGTTGTTGTTGCGAAAAGCGTCCGTCGTTGGCCTTTCGCTTCTTGCGCCGATCATTGGCGCTTGTTGTTGGATGCCCGGGACGTTGGTGGAGAAGGCGCGGCGGGCGAGACGCCGAAAGTTGTTGGGGGCGCCGCAAGAAGGGCCGCTTCGCCTCCCATCTGGAGAGAGTGGCGGATGCGGTTCTCTTCCGCAGAAGGTATGATTTGGTGTAGAGAAAAGTGGGTGGGGAGACATGGTGGTGAGGATGCAATCGCTCGGGTGAAACTTGTTGTTCGAGCCGCCGCAGGTGTTGATGACGAGGGCCGATTCGAGACGGGCGGCGCCGCAGTGAGAGCGTGTCGGCGAGGCGCTTGAGGCGCCGCAGATTTCGCCGACGCCCATGTCGCCTGGCACAGCCGTGGAACTCCCCGCTTGGCGACACCGCGCGCTGAAGAAGACTCTGTGTCGAGGAATTGGTGGTGATCGCAGTCCGCACGGAGTAGGTGTTGGCATTGGGGCGGTTGACATCGCTCCAGATTTCCTTGACACGCGGTGTTGTAGAGCTGTGAAACGATGCAAGCATCGATCTGGAGCCATTCGGCGTCGGTGATCATGGCGTCAATATGATTGACGAGGCCAAATTTTTGGAGAGTGAGCTCAATGCAGGAACGCCATTGCCGGAAATTGCCTTCGTCGGTAGACAGCACGACGGGGACATGGCTACGGATGTTAAGTAGCACAAGGGTGGAGGCTGAGGGTGGAGCGGGGTCAGCAGGTCCGGTGAAAGGGTTGGAGCCGGAGGAGGCAGCAGACCCGGATGGACTCGCCATGGCTCAGAGAGGCGGAAGCAGTGGGTGGGAGGTGGGATCGAGAGATAGCTGATACCATGTAAGAGAATAGAACGCTCAGTTCATTCGATGTTCAGTGTACATGTACTTATACATCTTGCCGATCATTCCTAGCCGATCAATTCTAACTAACCTGCATGCACGGCTCAGCTGAAGACTAGCGACTAGCAGTTACACAGTTGAGTTACAAGAGGAGGAGCAGATCCTACGCTAGCTAACAGAAGTCTGAAGAATCGGTCGCTCACAATGACAAATTGATGCATCTATTCGTGCATTTTGCGTATTGTTAAACTAAAGTAAAGTGGTATAAAAATAAGTTGCTGTACGATGGGTGAAATTTACTTCTTTTATCTTCCTTCACAAAGCTGTATTGAGATAAAAAGATAAAAAACAGAATCGTCAATATCATTTCGCATGACTAAAGACATGGAGAAAAATTACTTGATCTCAGTGAACTGAAGGACGGCTACTTGAATCGACATGGACGAATCTTGAGCACCAGCGGTCGCGGCGCGGCGTGCAGGTGCCTGCCGCCTCCGGTGTCTCAGCGGCACGTCGCCCGGCACACGGGGCACGTCGGTCGCAGGCGCAGCCACGCGTCGACGCAGCGCGCGTGGAACGCGTGCGCGCAGCTGGGGAGCGCCCGCGCCGTCTCGCCTTCCTCGACAGCGCCCAGGCACACCGCGCACTTCTCCGTCGCGGTCGTGGCGGCAGCCACCCCGGCCCCGCGGCTCACGACGACGAAGCATGGCAGCCGCGCGATGGCAGCGTCGTCGAGGCCTGATGATGAGGCGCCGTCGCTCCGTGCCGCCGGCGGGATGAGGTCGTCGTCGGCGCTCAGTGTGGCGAGCAGGTGGTTGGCGTAGAGGACCGCAGCGTACCGCAGGAGGAGGAGGAAGGCGGAGAGCGCGGCGAGCTCGAGGACCACGCTGACGCGGTCGTACTCGCAGACGACGGCGACGGCCGCCGTTCCCGCGCCGACGATGTCCGATCCGGTGGACGCCGGCATTGAGCGCGGATGGACGGACGGAGAGGCGGCGTGGACTTTCACTAGCAACAAGGAGCCGCTAATAATGCTACAGAGATACGGGGTACTACGCACATGCTGGCACGGGTATAAAGTATCGCTGTATCATCGTATCCGTAACCCGTATCGGTGCAATGTGTCTCGTGCTCCAGATTCGCGAAGGCGCATTGAGTGTCCAAAACTATCAGCATTGCTGCTGTTTTTGCGGGGCGCGTGGGTTGTCCCAGACTCCGAGTTCGGCAAGCGGCGCGGCAGTGGGGTTTTTTGGACTCTGTTCTCAGCACAATGGTCCGCGTCCCGCCCGCGGTAATAAAGTAGGTAAACGCGGTCGCCGGTCGGCGGACTGCCACTTGCTCTTTGTTTTATCATCATCCATTCCCCAGCGGCATCCATTTGCTTTGCACGATGTTTCGGCGCAACAAACATTCGCAGGGATATACTAGGACGAAGCGAAGAACTCGGGGTGCCAGCAATATTAGGAGACACCAGAGGAGGGCCTTCTGGAGCCGCGTACATCGGAGCCCAGCAGCTCAGTCCGGCACAAGAGAATGACAGTGTGTATTAGCGTGTGAGTTTCTGCTGCCTGCGAGCAGAAGAGTTCAGTAGTGACCATTAGGGAAGATTTAGATTAACAGAGAATACAAATCGAAACAAAATGGGAATCCATGGAGCGAGAATGACAACTCAAGATAGCAGTTCAAGGATCTTTTCATTACCAAAGTGTACAGATTCCTCAAGCAGACCAAAGAGCTGCTTGTCCAGAGCAACATCGTCTAATAAGCAACACACTGCCACACCATCTAGGATCTGAGCCAGCTCTGCATGTGTCACGGTCAACCAGCAACATCTGAACCAAGAAACTGTACCAGTTGAGTCTCAAACAACCTGAAAAGGAATTACAGAATGAAGGTTAACACAAACACGAGCTGAAAACCAGCGCAACAGGGGTTGCAGGATGGAAGCACGGCCTAAATTTTGAATCTGAATGCAAGAAATGGAATTCTTAGGATAGATATCATCGATGATTTGTTAGAACAGACGAGAGATGAAGCTGACATGTGTATAATAATAACACAAACACTTCCTAAAACACAAGGTTGGATTCCAAGAAAACAATATGCCATATATATTTACTAATGCTGGGAAAGATATTTTTTCTACTGCCTGTTATCTAAACCATTAGATAGTTCAACAGTACACATTGGTGCATAAAAATAGGTGCAATCTTCTTGAATTGCTGGCAGCTGAATATTACCTTGGATTAGCCTGTGGTATTCTTTATCTACATCTTGATGTTGAAGTAGTCGGAATCAAAATGATGCAGCCTTACATATCCATCTTCACCACCACTCGAAAAGCTAATAAGATTAAAGAAAGAATATGGACAGAATTAGAAAAACCTTTTTACTAAAAAAAAGCAACTTCAGAACATAAGAGAAAAGTATCTACAGCACATGTTGATAGTGTACAATGGTAGCTCTCATGAATCATTTTTTTTCAACAGCGGCAATCAGAATAGCATATATAACCAGTGTGTCTGGTTGAAGTCATTGAGCTATCAGATCCCAAAGATGCATACGATAATAAAAAAGAATTTTTTTAAAAGGCCAGATTAATGGTAAAGCTACTGTGGGCAGAATGTAGCTCTCATACTCAAAATGTTCATCGAACTGAGGTCAGCATAGCATATATTGCCAATGTTGGCTACAATCAGTCTGAGCTACATGTAAACGTAGCATGGCTGAAGAGGAGAGATTCAGCCATATAAAGGTAAAAATAAATAGCTTCAGAAATCAATGAAGACCAGATATGTGGTAGACATATGAAAAAGATAAAATAATGTTTAGTGTCAATGTAGATAAAATATTTCAGATTAATTAACTTAAAAGAAATGTGGGATAAAATGGAGAATCAGGACTGGTCGTTACATTGCTCCACAAATAAGCTAGAAAAGGAGATTTTCAGAGAGTAAATTTGCAAAAGATAAATCAATATGAAAACCTAATGAAAATTACACATAGCAAATAAAATCCTGCTCTCAGAAAGCTTATGGCATCCTTGTGTGGCTCAGAATAGCGTATATTACCATGATTTACCATGGTAGAATCATTGAGCATATACAACAACAAAAAAACACGAAATATGGGCATAACCTTATACAATGGACAAATGCTGATAGTAACAACAATGACTAGATAAGAAAAGCACTGTCAGAACAAAAAATATTACCTTCGCCCATCAGGATTAAATGCTAAAGCATTAATTGGCCCAAAATGTCCTTTAACACCACCAATTTCCTCTTGCAAAATCTAAAAGAGAGCAAGTTTTAATCAGAACAGTTCAAATATTGTAAGCATACAAAGTTTGGCAAGGAAGCAACACAAAAGGAGTAATACCTCGATACTTTATTAACTGGAAAAGAACTTACCTTGTGATAGAATTTAGCCTCAAATTTACCAGCACGGCGGTCTGTCATAGTCACATTCATTGCATCCTGACCACCTCCTAGAACTACCTAAAAACAGAAACGAAAATCTTAGGAAAATGGAACACAGATGATGGTACCACTGAGCTAAGAATCACATGTAGACAATAAACACAATGCATTCATCTACAGCTCAAAAAAATAAAACATGATAAATAGTGTTCTAGTGTAAATACAAAAAGAAGCGCAACAGCTAACAAAATGCATAAGCCATAGGTCAATAGCTTAAATGTGATAAAATACTTTTCTCCTAGTGTACACAGCAAAATATGCAATGGCTGACAGAGTGACAGCACAGTTACATATATACAAAATCACGACCTATGATTATTACATAAAAATGCACTAAACTGGACAAAGAGCCACTTTGCAATACCAGGTATATGAAGATCCGCTATACGGATTATGAAACCCAATTGGCAAACAAATTAGCTCAGCAGTGCACACAACCTGGGCATTTAGACAGACCCCATGCTACTTCACGAATCACAGATTCAACACAAAGCTCGTGACAATGTGTGAATATTACACAGGTCGACAGGCATTTTATGCTTTTCAGCTTTTGCCGTGTGGCAAGAGAAAGTGGAATAGAAAAGATGTGTATAAATAAGTTTGTGAGGAGGAACATACTGTATCATGAGTAGGAGAGATGTCAACAGCATTAACAGGTCTCTCTGTGACATACGTCTTGATCAGTGTTAGCGTTCTTGTATCCCATAGCTAGGCATGGAAAATTGAATCTCTGGGAAACTACAAATATCTTCATGACAGTCAACCTGAACAAATTCTAACCTTAGAAGATTTATCCAAGGAGCCAGTAATGAAATGTGACCAATCTGAGGATTTTGACAATGATGAAATGGTCTTATGATGTCCAGATTCTTTATCAGACTCTTTCAACAGTTGTCCAGTCTACATACAACTCAAAGAGGATCCCACGAGTGATGTGAAAAAACAGTCTCCATATTATGGAGAAACAATTAGCATTTTTACAAAGGTAAAAATGACAGAGAAAGAGTAGCAGCATGGATATTATATAAAAGCATAGCAGGTTTGATCTTGAATCCCACACCCATTTTCAGTTTCCTCATTTCCTCCCTTGAGTAAATGGTGCATTACATAAATCATCATGGCCTCGTTGGATGCGATTTTTAACTTTTTGCCATCCTTACGGATGGCACTCCTCCGTTTACCTGTTTTATGTGCGCTTCTACATAATTGCCATCACAAACAGTGAAACTCATACGCTTTTGCCACTTTCGCTGATGTGGCACACCAGGTGGGCATGCCAGCGTGGCAAGGCAATGAGCCCGAAGCCCTCACTTAGCACGGGAAATGACTTATTTACCCATGTTGCTACTCTCCCTCTACTCTCTAACATGTGGGCCCCACATGTTAGCTTCATCCTCAACCTCCGGTCATCACCACGCAATGAGGGGAGGGAGGAGCTCGTGAAAACTGCATGTCACCGATCAGCCACTCGAGGTGCTTCGATTCGATCCATGTTAATCTCGGTCGCCCATCTTATCTTGAGACAACGGCAACCAATAACTTGCGGGTTCACAGCGCAGCCCACCGTGAGGTCAGTCCGGGCATGCATGAGCGGTGGCTACCGCTTCGGACACAATGCTGAAATGATGAAATGATCTAACGATGCCTAGAGGGGTGTGAATAGACATATCTAAAATTAATCGTAAATGCTAAGTTTAAATTTGTCACCAATGTCGGAAGTCCCGACAGTTTGGGTCGGAACTCCCGACGCCGTCAAGTTCCAAGACAAACGTCAAGTCTCGACGCCTCGTGAACTACAAAAGCAAAGGCCAAATTTAACTTTACGGATAAATAATCTTACAACCCCACTTTCTAATGGTTTGGTGAAGATGTTGGGCCACTCCTTTGACGCCAAATGCCTCCAAACCGTAGATTGAGTCCAAATCCTAAAATGAAGTTCGAGAGAGAGACAAGCAAATACAAGTAATCTCGAGCAAACACAACAACAAGCACATGGGACACAAAGATTTATCCTGAGGTTCGGCAACCCCACAAAGGAGCTCCTACATCCTCGTTGTTGAGGTGACCACAAAGGTCGGAGTCTCTTTCACCTCCTTACCTCTCTCAAGGCAACCACAAAGGTCACTTGAGCTTTCCACTAAGAAATCAAGGGTAATACAAACTCCAAGGCTCTTCCACAAGATGGAAGCTCTTGGGCAATGCCTAGCCGGCTAGGGGCAAAGCCTCAAGAGTAATAGACGCAAATCCAACCGGCTTGACGAAGAAATCAAGTGTTCAAGCTTGTTAAAGTGATTCTCTCACTTAATCCACTCTCCTTTCACTCAAAACCCTAGGAGAATCGAAGATTGGAGCAAAGAAGGGAGGAGAGGGGTGCCTTTGTTGCTTGAGAGCTGTTGAGCACGAAGGTTGGTGAGCTGTGAATAAGTCCATAACGGTTAGAAGTGAAGAGAGGGCTATTTATACTTATAGTAGAAATCTAACCGTTCAGATCTACGTCAGAAGTTCTGACGCAGATCTCAGGACTTTCGACCTTAACAGAAAACACTGTTCACGTAGGGTCAAAGTCCGCACGAGCAAATCAATGTCGGAACTCCCGACGTACGTCGGGACTTCTAACGTGCGCAGACAGCCAACTAGCAAAACCCTAGGTGTTGGGACTCCCGACAAGGGTCGGGACTTCCGACTGTCGGGATTTTCGACGTACGTCGGGACTTCCGACGGGCGCAGATAGTCGGCCAGCAAACCCCCAGGTGTCGAGACTCCCGACTTGGGTCGGGACTTCCGACTGTCGGTACTTCCGACTGTCGGGACTTCCAACTCACGTCGGGACTTTTGACTGCCACAGTCACTGCACAGGCTAAGTGACTGGGCGTTAGGACTTCCGGCATGAGTCGTGACTTCCGACGGTCGGGAGTTTCGGCTTATGTCGGGACTTCCGACACCAACAGTCACTGAAAAATATTCTACGTGCTCGTAGAGTGCTAGAGTGTCTCTCTTTTGATTTTATTTTTATGCTTGAGCACTCTATCTTCCTCAGACCAACTAAGTTTGCATCCCTCTTTATAGTGCGGCAGATCCTAAACTCAAAAACAAAAATAAAACCTTTGAAGAGCGCTTTGAGTTCGTCCGCCTTTACAACTTTAAGAATTGAGGGATACCATTTCCTCTTTATCAACTATTTGAATCTTTCATGGGACTAATAGCTGCGACATATCTCATTAAGATCATATTAGTCCCTAATTTGGATGTCATCAATACACCAAAACCCACATAGGGAGCAAATGCACTTTCAATCTCCTCCTTTTTGGTAATTGATGACAACCAACTTAGGTTTTTATAAGAATGAAAGAATTTAAAGCTTTTGAAACCCAAAATTTATAAAGAGCTCCCCTTGATGTATGCATGAATTTGAATTTCAATTAGAATCATCTATACATGATTTGCATACATCAAGACAAAAGCTCCCCCTAAATTTTGCAATCCGTGGGGTGCAACAAGTGTGTGTGAACAAATATATATCCATGAAAAGAGATGCAATATGACATGTTATTTCACACAACAAGTAAAAGAGAATATAATGGCCATGTTGGCATGGAAATTTCGTCCCGTGCTGAGGGCACTCGAGTAAGCCGGAAGGGTCTGCTCGATGGAGCTATAGATCCACCTAGCTTCAACGCAGGGGTGGTCAATCCTGCATACTCCTCCCGAGACGTGCCAGTCAATTTGACCCTACAATTGACAAGGAGAGAAAGCTAATCAGTAATTTAAGGTGGAACGTGCCGGTGTTGCCAGACAGTCCCGAATGTGCGGCTCTGAGAGCCGATGTGAAAGGAGATCAACTAAAGAGTCGATTCTAGCATACTCATAGGAATAAATTAGTTAAATCTCATGGGGTTGTGTAAGAAAAATCGGTTATCATTCAAGATGAATATCGTTATTTAGACAAATATTAGTCAATGGCAATAAGATGTCAACAATAATTAGTTCATACTAAGCCAATGACTGCAATTAACCGAATCCCTTTTATATAAAAAAAGAAACAACTCATCATCATTTAACCATTTAATAAAGATAAATCTAATGAACATATTAGATCCCATATATCGTTATGACCAGTGGGGCATGAGGCGAAATCATGCGGTCGTAAACAACAATAGATTCGACGACCCTAACTTATTACTAATATTAGTGGGGCATGAGGCGAGAATCATGCAGTAAAGTCTACAATAATAAGATCATGGGGCTAACACATCTTTCAACCTATCTTTACCTCAACGGTCTCGTGATGTGAACTGCTCGTGAAAGCACTCGATATTGGCTAAAACAAATTTCGTGCTTAGCGCGCCGATTAAGGTCATGCCCTATCAGGAACAGATCTACCAAATAACGATCTCCACTCCACGGTGCTAACAGTGGGGTGTGAGGCAGAATCACACAGGCCGTGATAACGGGCCATGGAACGGTTTTCACTAGCCAATAGATCTACTCAAGATCAGACATGCCTTAACCGCACACTATGCACGATCAAAATTGACATAGAACATTCGATAAAACATAACTCATCGTTTAAAGTACAGATTAGATCAAATTTAGATTAACAAATGATGTGTTAAAAGATGTAAGGCCGATCTAGATGAATAATGAAAGCAATAAGCAATATCGGTAACTTAATGAATCTATCCGAAGGAATGCCACCCTTAGATAAAGCCGATAACTTGACCTTAATCTAGTTTGAGCAGTGGAGATCGACCGGATCGATGCAACCGTACTTGAACTAAACAAGAGTCGATAACTAGCTTATACCAGAGTCGCAGTGGAGGTCGACCGGATCGATGCAGCCGTACAAATAGAAGTATAAGCCATGATGATACTTACAGACAAGCCGGAGGTCGGTCGGACCGATGCAGCCCTGCTCGCTGATGAACTCGCCGAGATCTACTCTACTCCTACTTCTAAGGGGTGGCCGGAGCCAAAAAAGTGTAAGTAACTTGTATTGGATTGATTGTGTGTCTGATTACAATAGCCGAGGGTTTATATTTATACCCTGGGCTGATAAGAGTCCAAAATGAACAGGACTAGATAACAAAAAGAACTATCAAGATACATGGACTCTAATTTCCCTTATGTAGAATCCTTGCTGATGAAGCTTCCTTGTTTGATACGTGTCCTTGTTTCTTTCATCGTAATATGCACCTGGACGTCGCGTTTCTCCAAAAATAATATTTCCTGACCGGCTCGTGAATATCCCTTAACTAGGAGATTTTCTTGCTTTTGACATCATCGGCCGATCTCTTCCTTTCTAGGATAAGCTTACCAAATTTTGTTGTAAACAGGCCAAGATTTCAAAGTAGAAACTTGAAGCAACACATGGCCATCCAAAATACATCCACCATCACAAGTAGAGACAAGCACAAGCTAATAAGGTAGATAGATAACCATTACTTGTCCTACAATCATGCATCACAAACACATATATATAGTTGTCCATCACATACTAGCCACCACACAACATAGTTCATACAAGCTAAAGGTTTAAAAGTCTCGAAACTAAATGACCAACTAACTTATTACAAGATAGATCAAAGCCTAACACTCCCCCTTTGTCAACAAAGTGCCAAAAGGGGTAGGCCGCGTGAAGAACTGACTACTCATCCTCATAGTCCTCATCATCATCTTGGTCACCATTATCACCACCGTCGTCGTCGTCACCATCCGCCTCCATGTAGTCCTCATCATCTTTAGTAGTCTAGCTCTTGCCATGAGGGCGAGAAGCAGCAGCATCCTCATATGCCGCACAAGCCTCATCATAGAGTGCCAAAGGATCATGGGGAGGCACAAACGGCGGTGGAGGAGAAGACACAAGATCTGCCTACTGTTCCAAACGATAGAGCCTCTCTTGCATTTCGTGCTCACATTGAGCACTAGCACAACATTGTCCAAACATGTAGGTCATGAGGAACTTGAACTTGTTGGGCTTCTTGCTAGAGGAGGAAGAAGAGAGTGGCTCGGCACTAGAAGAACGAGCAGCAGTAGCAGGTGGTGAAGCACCACGACGAGAGCGAGAACCCGAAGCACCTTTGCCTTTGGCTTGGGCTACAGCAGCTTTCTTCCTTAGTTCTTTTGCAGCTGTGATAGATGTCTTGTTGGAGATCTTGAGGAGATTGTGCTGAGTGTCTGTGGGGAACCGGATGCCGGACACTTGCTCAATCACATGCATGATGTAGGGGGCATAGGGAAGATGCCTCACATGATCCTTAGTAGCATCATGTATCTTGTTCCAAATGTATCGATTGATGGAAAATAGCTAAAAATCATCACCAAAGCGTTGAAGCACCTTCTAAGAATCATCATGAAGGAAAGTGGAGTCACCTCGCTTCAGATACAAGATCTGTCGTAGAATGTTATTGAGGACATAGTAGTAGGGCTTTAGATACACAGTCTGTCCATCAGCTTGATGTCCATCAAGATACATATGCTGGTACTCCTCCAAAGCCACATCCTCATACTCAGTGAGTTCAGGTGCAGTGCGATCGGCATGACTTAAACCAAGAAGGCGAGAGAAAGTAATGAAATCCATCTTATAGTGCT